TGGCCAGGGAGTAAACTAGTGCCTGTGGTGGAAACAGGAGGCAGGATTCTGGCCTTGATCTCTGCTCCAACCAATAGGCAGGAAAAGAAAGAACAGTAATAGCTGGAGTCCTGCCAGAAGTACATTCTTTCCTTTAATACCTGGCATCACCTCCAGTATAAATCTGGAATTAAACTGGATTATGTTTTTATGCAGATCCTGTAAAAGCAGTTTAGCTTTGGGTCCTGTCTGAGCCATCTGATAACGATGGTATCTGCACGTAAGTGGCAGCAACACACCTTACACTCCCCACACAGATCCCCAGGAACTGGAGCTGGTTTTAGGGAGAAAGTAGTTCTACAAATAGCTGCCAATGCCTTTTCCGAGACTCCTCTATTGCTCTGGAATAGCCAGAAGGGACTCGAGATCCCTTCAGTGCCAGTGGGTGTTGGTGTGTGCAAGCTGTAACTTCTGAGGCAAAACAGAAAGGGAGAAAAAGAGTACGGACACGAAACATAGGTAGGAATTGCCTGAACTTGGGGAGCTGAAGAGTAAAGAATCACAAAGAGCATTGTATAGCTTTTATATTAATCTAAAGTGGATTCCTGAATTCTATAGGCACAATAGGGGTAGAAGGGGAAAAGACATAAAGGTAAATGAAGGGCACAAATGGCCTTTATTACATTAAAAAAGCCTTTCAGAGTGCATGTGGTTAGGCTTATTTCTGTAACACGAATGACACTGGCTGCAGTGTAACTTCTGCTGTCATTTAGCATGTTGGGTGAAGTGTGAGGAGTCAGTGCCAGTGTATAAGAAATGGAGAAAGCCTGGGTCTGCATTAATTAGAGTTGACTGAAAAAGATGGTAGGAACATCCAAGACTGATTCCTTTAAGTATAATATCAGCTCCAAAAGGCATCAGCAGCTGGCCAGGGCTGCAGCCCGATCCAAGAATTCTCTTATGAACCTTGCCTGGATGAAAGTGAGCACTGCAGACAGTGCTGGAGGGGAACAGCCACCTTTCAAAGAGCAGTGCAAGCTCATGGATGTGAAACATCCCATCTCCCGAGTCCACGGGTAGCTCATGCTTGTCTGACAGTTTCTCCAGAAAAGGCCAGATCATACAGTAACACAAATGGATATAAAATCTTTTGAGCTACATGTAAGGGATCTATGCATGTGAACAAATCACGGCAAGTCTGTGGTCAGCAGGGTTAAATCCACGAGACAACAGTCTGCACTCCAGCAGAGAGCGTGCAGGGATCTACAGCTGAAAAGGCTGGAACTGTCTGTAAGCAATGATAAATAAAGTGTTCTTCCTGCCTTGGAGGATTTCATAGGATGGTTAACAAACTCTTGGAACCTCTGGGTGCAGGAGATGAGGTGTCTTTGGGGGCTTGGTCCAGGCAATGCCATCTGCTCACAGGGTGACAGACCTGGCCTTTCAGAAATCATTATTCCCTGTGTTCCCAGAATCCTTGCCCAGCCTAGCCTGGCATCAGCTTCTTCCTCAATCACAGCCTGCAAAGCCATATTGCAGAGGATCTCTTTTGTTAGTCTTCATTTCAGGACAGCAAAAAATGACTGATCAAACACGTGGAAATGCTGAGAAGGCAAATGAAATAGTTGCTGCAGAAACAGTTTCTGTAGGCTGTTACTTTTTTATTCCCATAGGTGCTGGGCTGAGCTCTGCAGGGACACAACAGGTTTCTCTCTTTAATGAAAAGCTTCATAATTTCTTTTTTCCTAGAGGTTGTTGCAAAACTGTAACTTCCTGTGAGGTGCTGGGTTTCACAAACTACCAAACTGATACCGTGGCATGTAAACAAGCTGTGTAAATGTCTAGGCAGAGCCATGCCATAGCATTATTATCATTTAAACCACAACAGCATGCTAAATGATATTGCAAGGTTGGAATTTACTGTCAGCAGTTTGTATATTTGAAGTACTATGCTTTGCTCAAAACAAAACCCCCAAAATATTTACTGACCTTTGTTGCTACAAAAATCCAGTTGTTCAGCCAGAAAGAGCTGCTAACATCCCATGAATCTGATCAGAAAGCTATTAAATGCCCAGGATAGCTTTCTATTGAAATAACTTTCTATTTCTATTTCTTTTTGAAAAGAAAATTATCAAATTGATAAATGCCATTCATGGCCCTGATCCAGCACAGCTCCATTTTCACCAGGCTGAACAGTAAGAGGGAACACATGGTAAATTAGTAGAAAAGGTGAGGAGGGAGAGTACAATTGTAGCAGAAATGGCAGTAATATAAATTTCTATCTATTAGGCCTGGCAGAATTTGCTGCTTCAGTGGAAAGAATTTGAGAGGCTGGGTTCTGACTTCCTCGATATGGAGAACTTGTGTGCTGGGTGAACTCATTCTGTGCCTGCTCACTGCCGCCTATGGCTGGACCCGATGCCCTTGACCAAACCCGGACGTGACTCTATGGCAGCTCAGATCACCTTTCAGCTGCACATCACTCCACGTAAAGAGTGAAAGCTCCCTATGAAACAGTCAAAAGTGCAACTAAACCCAGCTGAAAATTCAGCCTTTTTTATAACAGCAATTTCATGGCTGATGTTTTTTTAACTGCAGACAGTAATATATGATGACTGATGCAACTCAATACTTCCTCCCATTCCTGGCATGAAGCCAAAGGGTTGGTAAAAGAACCTAAAAATGACTCCGTACATCCCAAATGCTAAAAAGACTAACTTTGGACGGAGTTTCCAAACTAAGAAATGCGAGCAAAATGAGACATGGATCTTGATTGCGGTTATAAATTATTACAGTTAATTCAAATATCCATTCTGAGTTTCTCTGCTCAGGAGGTCAGCTTGCTACTGAACATCTTTAGGGAAGTCGATGGAGTCCATCAAGCACATGGAGACTGTGAAGATGCCTTCCAGCAGCAGAACGAGGATGGACACTTGCACACCAACCACTCTGCTCTTAGGTGCAGCCTTCCTTCCTCCAGAAACTTCTCAAATTGCTGATAGCTCATCATATGTCATGAAAGAGTTAAACTTGATTCTTCACTTCCCACATCACCTTAAGCATCCCAGCTAAAGCCTGCAATGAGTTAAAAACCATCACCCCACTAGTGGGAGTGAAAACATGGGCACTCCTAGTCCAGCTGCTTTGCTGCTTGTCTTCATACCCACAGCAGCTCCTGTGTATCAAAAACATGCCCTCTTTATTCCCTCTTTGTATCCTAAGATACTCTTTAATCACTTCTTTTATTCACTGTAAATCAAGAATCTAATATTTAATCTTTTGCTTCTCTTCAATTAAAATGGTAACAGACAAGGATCCATATCTCCCCTGCTGCCTACAGGGGTAGTGATGGCTCTGAGCACCCTGAAATGCAGTGTATGGGAGGGTGTGGACAGTGTGGTTTGCTATACTTAGCTTTTCAAGCAAAGATAGTGCAGACTCAGGCAAAATCATTTAAAGTATGGGATTACACAGAGTTCCAATCAAGGTACACGCAGGACAAGACAAAAAAGGACTTGAAGGCCTGGGAAGGGAAATGTAATATTATAACCCTGGAAAACAGAAATGCAGATAGCTGGCAACTGCATAATTATATGCACCAAAGAGTGGATGCAGAAGCATTTCACACACATCCAAACCCTGGCTGCTGATGTGCACTGGACATGTTGCACTTAATTTCACCTGCAGTCTTTGCAAATGTAGGTAAAATTGATGTCACAAATGCACAGGCCATTCATTACACAGATCCTTATTTTACCTACGGATAAACTAATCGCTACCATGAATGGTTTAAATCCTCCTTATTCAGGAGGGATAAATTCCTGCAGAGGTAAGAATGAACTCCACCAAAGCCTTCAGCTGGTTGGAGGACTCACACTGTAGAAGCTGTGGACAGTCAAACTGTGGAAGGTAAATGAGAAAGGTTTGGCAGTGGCAGTATGAAGACTGGACATAAGCAGGAGGGTATAAACTGTGTGGCAGGAAGATGATCTACCCTTCATTAAAGTAAATGAGCCTATTGTCGGCAGTTTGTGATGTGCTCTGGAGAAGAACCTGGGTTTAAAAGATGGAAAGAAAAGGGGAAAAAACCCTGAAAATACCTAGGCTTATCTCTTCACACTATAGTTGATGTTATGACCCTTTCCAATGGCAACTGAGATCAGATTTCATTTTAAAGACGGCAGCAGAGCTGTGTCATTAGTCCTGGCTTTCTGAAGTAAACAAAAAATAAATGAAAATTTCATTAATCCTGTACTTGCAATTAAACTCTCTCCTTCCAAGCAGTACTAAGTCACTGTGAAGACCATAAGCACATACACATGGAACTTCCTTTAGTCACTTGGATATCTCTGCTATCATCGTGCCTCAGTATGAAGCCTGATTCTTATTTGATTTGTGGTTTTTTTCTCCTTTTCCTTTAGATGAAGATTATTACCTTCTGTCTAAGCTTTAGTCTTTACCTTCCAACAGACAAGACATAACTGTTACAGGAAAGTGCTCTAAATATGCTGGGGTTTTTAACAGCGAGGAAGAGAACATAGTTTGGAAACGGGAATATTCTGGAGGCACTTTCTCCATCCATTGTATATTTCCTAAATTGACTTTTGCTTCCCAGGCAGGCATTCAGCTTCTTCATTAGTATAACGATTCTTACTCTTCTCTTCCCAAACTTAGATAATTTGAATGAAAAGTAAGTTTTACACAATGTAGCTATTAATAGCGTCAACACATTTTGCATTGTGATTGCCTTACAGTAATGCTTACATCACTTACAGAAATGCTATCCCTCTCTACTGTGGATCAAAATGTATTTGTTCAGCATTCTTAACTCAAATATCCTTTCTCTTTGCTTGACAAGAACAATCCTGTGTGCTGTTGAGTACCAAGATAACTTGCAAGTTTTTCTAGTGTGTAATCCCCTTTTATATTCTGCATTATGTATGTACTCAAAAACAAAATACCTGCATTCTCTTAAATAAACTAGGTAAAATGTATTTCAAAAAGCTTCTTGAGTCAAAAAGTAGCAAATCATTGTATGTATTTTCCATAGTTGTATAGTTTCATTATATTCTCATTCTAAGTTACTCTTAAGTCTCTTTCATATTTAAAAAATGAACTACACACCTATCATGCAAAATGTAAAGAAGTATGTTCAACTAGTTCAAATTAGATATACAGTAAAAATACACTTCCAAAGAAATATCATTTCCATTTTTGTTCATGTTTTTAACAGAATTCCAGACTAATACATCAAATGTGGAACTGTACAAGTATGTGAAGAAACATTAGGATTGCAGTAGTAAAAAAATGTACAGCATTCAAAACCAACAAGCTCTAAACAACCAAACAATACCACAGGATTGAAACAGTCATGGGGATAACATAGGTCATCGGAGCCAGAGAGTGAATCCTAATGCACCTACATAAAGACCCTACATAGAATATTGTCTCTTATTTATATGCAAAATCCCTGATTTGATTAAACCAGACAATTTCTCTAATTGTCTCTTATAGGTTTTAGATAAGATTAACACCAGAGTATTCCCCTTCATAAACGTCAGTTATTTGAAAAGGCAATATTGAAAATTGATTTGAAAGGTATTTCCATCTGTGAGGATTCAGGTAGTTAAAACACAAGATCACAAATAATAGCACTGCAGTTTTAAAGAACATTTCAGTTGTTATCCGCTACATTTGCCGTAACACTTAGGAATTCAGGATTCATTTCTTTCGGAAACCGTTTACAACTTAATACACAGGTTTTTTAATTATGGGCTGTATCCATTTAAGAGTGGACCAACATTGCCTTTTACATCAAGAAAAGATACAGCTAAGCATGTAAAAAAATATAAAGTCTCCAAGGTAATCGACAGTGAACAAAACATTACATACAGCAGAATCTCTGTGTCCGAGTATCTCTGAAAGGCGCATATGTACTCTTTTACAGTCCACTAACCAGCACAGTTTCCTTATTACACATTTATCTTATGAGGAAAAATGTCTTGGACAAACCTGTAACAGTTATTAATTCAACCCAAATTATCCTTTTTCATGGGGCATCATTGTGCATAACTTAATGAACTACGCTAAGCCTATTGGTTTTAGTGACCAGAACATAATCCCTTTCACACATCTTAGCTGGTTAGGATATTTTGAGGACTATCTTGCTTTTCAGATAACTCACCTGTGGGGTTTTTTTAAACTGAAGTGTGAAGAAGGTTAATAAATGGCCTAATTATGCCAGCATTACTGTCCCACAGTGCTCATGCTCTGTGATCTCTCACTGATCTCGATAGGAATTTCATTTGCACAAGAATGGCAAATTTTCAGCTGAGAAAGCTGAATAAACGTAGAGCTTTTAAAACCAAAACATTGTGACCAACGAGTCTGGTCTACTGAATCATCTTTGATGCACTGAAGAGGGCAAAGAACACGAATCTTGGCACCTATGTTGCTGTTTATTTGCATTAATCTTTTCGCCATTTTGTTCCAATGGGAATGACGGATTAGTTTTAGAGAGCCAGACACATACAACCAAACGTCCGACTGAAATCCACTGATCATAACAGGTTTGAAAAGGAATAACCATATGCATCTTATGTACCACTCAAAATCTATAAAACTACTGGGCAAACAGCATGGTGTATACTCATTCTTGTACATATTTAAACTTTGCTGAGGTATTTCTTTAATTACAGAAAAGCATCTTTAAAAACAATAGAAAAAAACTCAAAATATGAGTTATATTCTGCACAGATTTGGGGGGAAGAAGGAGTTCAATTGTATTGAAAGGTCCTTAATCATTAAAGGAATAACCACTTTTATTAGTATCCTCCATGTCATATTTTTCCTTGGTTTTTTATTCCTTCAAAGCATTACAAAAAATGTAAGGCTGTGTCTTTATAAAACATAATTTTGCCTCGACTTTGCCCACCAGTGTTGTAAAATAACCTGAAACATTCTGCCTTTTTCCTAAGGAAAACTGTGCCCAGTGTCTACCTTGTAAGGGGCTGACTGTGGCCACAGAGCTATTGGGTACCCTCATGCTCGCCTCCCCCATGAAGCGTCTTGCATAAGAGCAAGACTGTTCTTGTAAATGCCAGCTGAAGTCAGATTTGTTTCACACAGCAAAATTAAGTATGGATTTTCTGCTTGATTTTTAACATTATCTGGTAAGTTCTACCTGCAACTAAGTGTTATTTCTCTAGGCTGAGGATAACTACACTGTTGCACAAGGTGGACTTCTCACCCATATATGGGAATAGGAGGAACACACACAGCATATTTAGAGTTTATCCTAGGCAGACACTGTGTTTGTAGAGCAGTTTTCTAATCTTTTTAAATACAATCAGCCTATCTTGATTGTGACACTAGTGTTAAACGTAACTGCAGCCATTACCAAGTAGTTTCCGTAAGTGGTTTTATTACTGGTTAGATTTTACAAATTCTGGTATTTGAACAGACTTCAACCTTAAAATTCTAAAACAACAAAGCAACCAATGAAAGGCTTAGGACTATTCAAAGTAACAAACTCTTAACATTTTTGCCCTGGTCATAAATATACAGAGAGAAAAAGAGAGAAGTGGACATGGAACCCAAAGAATGTAGATAAAACAGTATATAAGGCACATGGCAGTCTTTGAAAATACAGAAGCTTTAGCCAACTTAAATTAATTGCTGTTTCCCTTGCTCAGTCCACAAAACTGTACAGTTACACAAATGTTGTGTTGCAATAGATCTTCCAAGTTATTCTTCAGTCCATACTCCGCCATACCAGAACACTACATTTCCTTCTGTTTTTTTTAGGAGAGATCCTAATTGTGGTTAGTCAGTTGCTCAAAGCCTCTATTAAAATACACTTGGAATTTCAGCTAAGAATAATTTCTTTTTTAAAGAAATTATTAAGAAAGAGTCATCAGAAAAGATTCGTAAGAGTCGTCTGTGAAGGACTTCGAGATTCATGAACCTCAAGACTTCCGGGCACTGATGTCAAGACAGATGTCACAGTAGGCATAGTAGGATTAGTCAAGTCCGTTAAAGTAGTGGGAGTGCTGGATGGACTCATGGAGGCATTGGATATTTCTGAGGCAGGACCTGATGGGGTCCCTGCTTGGAGTGTTGAGTCTGAAGTCTTATCCACCCCTGTGTTTTCTTGACGTAAGAGGTTCCGTCTGAATTTGGCTCGAGCATTTTGAAACCAAACCTGAAATAGTTTAATATAACAGGGTAGCATTTAAAGAGCTGCAGCGTTTAAAAAAGCAAAAGCATATTCACAAATTCACCAGTGCTGGAATTGGGGAAGATGTTTTCACTGGTAACATGTTAGAAAAGTAGCCCCAGTCATGAGAAATGTCCTCTGCCTGCCTGCAAAGCATTCCTCTTTCTCTCTCCTACAATCCTGTATAAACGGTCTGCCTGGGACAGGAGTGGACTGAGGATGGAGGAGTGGAGTTTTTCTGTGCTTAGAAATTTGGCAGCCTGCACAAATCCTTAATTTCCCTCAATCCCAGAAGTATTTGTCTGCATTGGGCAGACTTTGAGCATCAGATGGATATAAAAGAATGAGTTTCGGCACCCTCATATCTCAAGTCCATCTCCCATCGTAGCAGCAGGTGGCACAGACCACAGCACCCTGCCTTTCTGCAGGCCCCGATCCTTCTGATCCCTCAAGTGTCTGCAATGGTCTCACTTCTCTAAAAGGACTGTCCCTCTTTCCTACTCTTCTCTTACTCTTCTTTCTCAAACGCTTCATCTCCATTCACCTAAGCCCGTCTTCCTTTTCAAATGTTTTCAATACTGGAATGATGTCATGCAAAGAAGCTTCAATGGTATTAAAGACCCACATTGCATTAAAAATTGTCATTTCAGTAGAAATCATATCCACATACAGAATTTTTTCTGACATTGCTACTTCTTCCATTATTTGATTATTATCTAAGAGTGAAGGCCAAAAGCTACGACTTCATCTTTCTCAGTTAAATTTCAGTGTTTAGGTCCAAGATAAAAGCTTTCCACTCTCTGCAGGATTTCTTTAATGATAAAATATCTTTCTGACCTATTTGAAAACAGATAAAATAAAATGGATTTGTGAACTGGCATGAAACCGACATACAGCAGATCCCTGTGTTCAACCTGATACATGTTGCTACCAGGCAATTTTATTGCTACAAACTAGCTGAAATTTCACTGTTCTTATTTATCAGAAGGCCTCTGTCAATCTTACATTCTTTACAATGGACTCAGTCTTCATGCTACTGTCCTCATTTTGACCTGCCAGAAGGAACAGGACCGAGTCTTTGCATTCCAGATGCAATGAGCCTCATCATCTCTTTATCTGTCAGAGAAAGGAACTGAATGAGTGAAGGGGTCTGCTTCATTGTAAGGTATCTCCATCAGATTTCTCTCCTGAGGTCTGTAGAGGGAAACTGAGTGTGCAGAACTCTCGAGACCACACTGACCTGTACAGAAAGTCTGACTTCTAACTGCACAACAGCATGGCCCTGCCACGGGATCCGCTTTAAGTCACTGACAGAGGAGTGGTATGTAAGTACGAGCAGTCCTGTGAGGCGTTCTTGTGCTCTCTGCATGCCAGCCATGGGTGGAACTGATGAACGTGTCTGAGCTGGCTTTCCTCTGACTGATTTTCTTCTCATCTGTGGATGCTCCAGCCCCCGATTGCCCCCAGTGAGTACTCCTACTTATTCTCTGGAAAGCTTTATCCTCCAACCAAGGGCCTTTCAGGTGCACAGCGTCTCCTTCACACTCTATCCAGGGAATACCGTGAGGAAATAATCCTCAGGCACACAAATTCTAGCAGTGGCCATGGGAGCTGCATCTGTCAGCCATGCATAAATCACATCCCTACAGGTCCTCTTCTCTGAAAGCTTGGTAATTTAAAACAGTATGTTGGCATTCCCTTAGTTAAAACGCTTAGTTCAAAGACTAGTTATCAGTTTCATATATGACAAGAAAACAAGAATCTCCTAAACTAACATGGATAAAAATAGACTTGTGATTTTAAAACACAGTCCACAGTAAATGGGTAAACCCATTAAAGGCCAGTGATGTGTTTCACATTAGGCAAAGCCCAACATGGTATTTTTGCCTGACACCTTCACAACCAGTATCCTCTCCCGTGACTGTTCGTTCAGAGCCATACAGGAAGGGAAGCATGGGAGGGTCCTGAGCAAGGCAGGGAGCCTCGGTGCAGGAGAAGCAAATCTGCTCTGCTTGTTCAAACCACAAAGTCTAAAGAACCAAGTAGTTAGGAACAGTGAAAAAAACCCCACAGTTTGGACATTTGTGAGCTATTTTTACCTCTCAGTAAGAGATCATTTATATTTGGCCCACAAAGTAATTTGGGTTTGATGTTTCTAATATACCTGCCAGTGACTGTAAAAACAATAATACATATGGAGGTGAAATGGAAGTTTAAAGCCTGCCACTGTTGATCTGTACGTGTACCACAGTTACATAGTAATCAGAACAGGCAAAACCACTAGTCCAGTTGCATATACACATACTTATGCACAATTTCACACTTCTGTTCATTAAAAATACACATTTCTATAAGCAATGGTCTAAAATATGAGCAACATTTCCATCCCTGTTCCCCAATTTTCTTGTTTGAAGTGTGTAAAACTGTAGAAGGCACCATAAGTATTTTACATTGTTCCTAAACATCCAACTCTTCCTTAACCTTAAAAGGGTGATAGATCCAATAGTATTTTTTCTGTTTGTGATTTGAAACATGTAGTATGCAAAGTGAGCAAGACTACTGGTGTTTATGCATTCCCCTTTATCTTCCATTAAATATGAAAATCCGTGCTCAGATGCCCTTGCCTATGACCATTCATGCTGCTTTCAGGAGCTGCACATATAACATGGTTCTCTCTTTAATAGTGGTGATTCTATGTAGACACAGAAAATACTACAGTCTTGTAAGTATTATTCAAAAATAAAGATCATATGACTACTTTCACTTCCTTCCTTGCTCTTTAAAATTGCCCAATAATAACTATGGAATTATACTGAAAAGGCATCTAAATATTTAACTGAACTTCTGGGAATACTTTGCCTTATGATAGAAAGAGTTAACACAGTTATCGCAATAGTGATCTTTGGTTACACATGTACAATATGAGAGACTTTACACTGAAGAGTAGTGAAGGAATTAAAACTACTATTGTCTGAGTTGTGGGAATGTGAGCCTACTGCTCTGCTGCCCCGTGTTGTTACCCAGAGCTGTGCACAGCAGCATGTAGGAGCTGGCAAGTGAGGGCTGCCCATGCATAACGGCGGTAGCGCTGTGTGCTCCCACTCAAGCCCTGCACCTGTAACGGTATTCCAGTAAAGCAAAGAAATAACAATCCAAACATACATAACTGAAAGAATTGTTCCAGAAGGACTTATCACACATCAATTACACAATCAGGAATTGGGTCTTCGGTACTGAGGAATAAACAAAATCATTGGGAAGTATTTAGTGCTTTGCTGTCCAAATGTATCATCATAAGGCTGAGCTACTTCAAATCAAAGGGGATAATATGGACTAAAACTTCTGCTGGAAAATAAAAGCAGCTGCAAGGCCCACCACTGCTGCTACCACATTCTGGCTGGCGGGGCTAGATGCTTGTAGCTGGGCAACTCAGTGGCAAGAGGGAATAACATCTACCACAGTTAAAATACTACACTATCTTTTCAGTGATCTGTGTAACTAACTCTGTCTCCATCAAGTAAAACAGGAATAAAATAACATCTCCATATGACAGGGAAGGATTGGAAATAAACACATGAAATATTGTATAAGGATTTGGATACTGCACTGAATGGGATCATCTAATCACCTTAGGTAACTTTAGATTCTTGTTTGTAACACTCCCATTGTTGCAACTGTTATGTATTAGTTGTATGAATAGCTTGTGCTAGAACAAATATTCACACAGCTACCTGGAGCCATTTATGTTTACTGAATTTTACTAACTAGCAAGTAGAGAAACAAAAAATAACAGATGTTGCACCACAAAGCAAACTACATTCACTCTTTGCACATACATTCTGACTACTCTGTTGTAACTAGTAAACATCCATTCAAAGGGGAAGGATGGGATGTTTTAGGAACAGGGGCTCGGTGCAGTGTGCTAGCCCAAAGCAAATCTTCAGCACAAGGTAGCGCAGGGTACCCATGTGTGACTGGAGATCTTCATGCCTGTGGGCTATTGGAAACTGAATTAGCCAAGTCCAAACACATGCAGTAATCTTTGTGGGGTTTTCATAGCAACTGTACTGGGGAGCAATTCAAGAAAGAATAGGCAGTGTACATGATACCCACTGAAAAATAATGCTTTATGTTCCTAAACTGCTTTTGCCCTGGATAATTGCATCCCAGACTCCTGGAAGAGGTACATTCCTATAGCCAGCAAACCAGAGCTTCTCAGGGCTACCTACTTCCAATTTCCCTTTCTAAACTCACAAAAGGAAATATCGGTTCCCAAAAGAGGAACATTTATGCCACTTAGTTAGCTCACAATTAGCTGGTCACTTTAATTATGAATGATAGCTTACAATAATGGGCTGGTGCTCCCCAGTTGCAGTACAGGAGGTATATGAATTAAATTGCAAATATAAAGCTAAATTGAAATGAAAATAAATAAAAGCAGGGGTTTAAATAGTCTTACTGTGATTCTATTGTGGCTACGTACAGAAAGTGGCCTGCATTACAAAGCCACTGAAGGAAATATAATTTATGAAGCAGTATGTTACATTTCTATGCCATTCCACTTCTGGGCCTATGTAGCTAATGACTATAATACAAAGCAAAGACAGAAGTCAGGTCTTCCAGATCTGATATCACAGATCATTAAGAATATGGCTAAATGCTCATCTACAAACAAAGTACCCCCGTTACATGTTATGTGGGACTGCCTATACAGTAAGGGCACTACAGCTGTCTCTAAATCCCTAGGAACTCTACTACTTGTGTTTCGGAAGTACACTGCTTTCAGAACAAGAGAATTTGTTTCTCCTGATCTGCTGCCTTGCATTTTCTATCAAAATATATTCTATAAAATACGCAAAGACCACAATCCTCCATCAGCTGAACTGGGATCTGAACATACAGAAAATACAGCAGCTTACAAATGTGCCTAGTAACAACACAGGGAATGCAGAAGATTCCATACTACTGCCACGTGTGCACGTACGTCTGGGAGTCCATGCGCCTTCGGTGTGTAAGACTAATGCTAATGATGCCTGTTTAGATCAATAGTGTCAGTGAATTACCTTGTGTTCAGTAAGTGACACAGACAGAATGCCAGCGTTTCTGGCTCTAAAGAATTAACAAGTGACACTATCTCAGTAACCAACACCAGGAAGAGATTTCCCCAGCAAAGAGCAACCCTGAAACTCATATAGGTAGACCTCAGTGTTTGAAAATTTGCCTCTCTCAGGTTAGAGATAAACCAGTTGGGCTCAAAGGTTCTAAAATCAAAAAACAAATTTGTTTTTTCATGGCCCAAATTAATTTTCAAACAAAAACTCCAAGAGTATAGAGAGTGCTCGTAACAGACAGGAAAACTTCAGTGACACTAGACAAAGTATCACTCTGAGCCACTGTCTTGAATTGCCTCCAGCAGCTGGGTACAGCCCCCACCACCTTCCACCACTCTTCAGCTAAAGGAGTATTTAACTGTGAAAGTGAAAGAAATGAAATACCAACATGATAAGAAAAAGTTTAGTGGAATTGTAAGGGTCTGCCACAAAAAAAAAGAGGAACCACTAAGCACCTAAAAACTGCATAATGTGGTACGTTTCATATGGAAACAGAAGCAATGAAGAAACTGAAAGAGGAACTGAAGTGTAATGGAGGTGTGGAGTCCAATTTTGCAGAGAAGGAAATACGTTCTGGAAAGGAAGGAAGAAACAGAAACCTGGAAAAAAGGTGAAAGGAAAAAGCCAATAGGTGAAAAGAGAAGAGAGATGGAAATCAAAGTTGGTGTGGAATGAGGAGAGAGAGCACAAAGATGATCAAGAGAAAGAGACTTTCTAGACACTGATCTCATTTCTTAAGGCACTATGTGAGATTTCTCAGATAATTCAGGTGTGAGTACACTGTAATGGACAGAACAGATATTACTGAAGTGTCTAAACTCTGAGGGTAAAATAAAGAAGCGTCAAAATCAGCATAGACAAATGCACTAAATTACTTCACCCATGTGTGTGGATAAAGGAGAGCTGCTGTAAGGGCCACTATTTCAAGTGTTTGGATGTACACTGGGTGTATTGGAGGAATCTGCCGCTACTGCAAAGCAGCCTCATAAAAACACCCCCAAAAAATCCAGCTATGGAGGATGTAGCCAAGAGGAGTGGTTATGTATGGATTTTCATTAGTAGTTTTTACTGGGAAGCCTACAAATCTTTTACTCCTTTTTCTATTGGGTATTAACACTGTAAGGTCCAGAATCTCTCCAGGGAAATCAGTTTTTCCCAATATTTTTTGTCTATTGCCCTCCACTTGCCTGTGGATTTATGGGAGCTGCCCATGATGCTTTCCCAGAAGCCTTTCTCTGTGCATACCTCACACACTATTTTTCTACAATTAAGACCTGTTTAAAAAGTTCAGCAGTAGATCCCAGCATGCCATGGTTCCTGTACGCTCAGATTTATCTCTAGATGCAATTAGCTGGATAAGTTCCCATTAAAACTGACTTCTTGAATCAGAACTATAAATGAAAATGGAGCTGAATCAACTAATATTCTCACCTTTGCTTTCCATAATAGTTCAAATGGAGTGCATATCCGTGAAGCAAAAGAAATCCAGCTTTCAGAGAAAAAGTACTTTTAAAATGCAGTCTCCTTTCATTCTAAGTTACTAAACTGTGAGTTAGTTGTTAAACTGTGAGTTAATCAAGAAAACAGATTTATATCCACTTCAATTATGAAAGAAAATACATCCTCCTTGTCCTGATCAAATAAACTGCTGACTAAATTCTTATCTAGGTGAACGTTCACAGTAAGTTCTAAATTAAGATCTCTCTGTGTTTACAGTGAACACACTAATTAAAATAATTCACTTTTTCTTACAGCAGACTGGAAGCTAAAACATGCACCAGAATTAACTACAGGAGAACAATCTGAGCAGCAGACCTTCCCAACTGCCATTAAAAATTAGACCCTAAGTGATCTGCTTGGGTTCTGAAAAGAAATCACTTTTCTCATACTTTCTAGGATTTACCTGAAGCTTCACAGAAGATACGAATAATTAAGAAAAGCTCGGAAATCAGCAAACCCCATGGCAGTTTAAATATAAAATTGATCTCTTATTTATTTTTCAAGACAAAAGACTACTTTTCTTACCTGAAGAACTCTTTTGGTCAGGCCAGTTTTCTGAGCTAGCTGTTTCAAGTCCTTGGCATCAGGATTGTGGTTAATAGCAAAGTATGACTTCATTGTCCGCAACTGGTGGTGTTTGAATGATGTCCTCATCCGCTTTGTTTTTTGATTGCTGGGGTATTGCTGGTCTCTATCCAGGTGGTCACCATCGTTTTCATTGCAGCTTAAAGCTTAAGGTAACAAGAGGAAAAAGCATGTGAATACATTGTTCTGTGGCCAGCACTGTTTGCAGTCTATCTGAGTGCAGCACTTAAAATAACACACCATGGCATGTATTGTGCTGGTACAAATCCTGCTTGTCTTCCCCTCCATTTCATAGAATCACAGAATCAGAGAAACATTTACGTTGGAAAAGACCTTCAAGAACACTGAGTCCAACCATTAACCCAGCACTGCCAAGGGCACCACTAAACCATGACCCCATGCACCACATGTCCATATCTTCTAAATACCCCCAGGGATGGTGACTTCACCACTTCCCTGGTCACTGTTCCAGTGCTTGACAGCCCTTTTGGGGAAGAAATTTCTCCTAATACCCAGTCTAAAGCTCCCCTAATGCAAGTTGGGAGAAGTGACCGTCCCCTACCTCACTCTATCCTCCTTTCAGGTAACGACCGAGAAGCCTCCTTTCTCCAGGCTAAACCCCCCAGACCTTCAGCTGTCTGTGCTCCAGACCCTTCACCAGCTCCCTTGTCCTTTTCTGGACATGCTCCAGCACCTCAATGCCTGTCTTGCAGTGAAGGGCCCAAACCCAAACATGGTGTTCAAGGTGTGGCCTCCTCAGTGCCAAGTAGAGGGGGATGGACACTGCCCTGGTCACCCTACTGCTGATACAAGCCAGGAAGCTGTTGGCTTTCTTGGCAACCTGCGCACATTTCTGACTCATATTTCTGCATCTTCTACGTTTTCCTTACAATAACCAACCTGTAAGGACCATGACCTGCCTCTTTATGGCTTTTAAAATGTCAGGTCCATTTCCTTTCTTCCTCCCTGCATCTCCACACAGCCTTTCCTCCACTTTCTGCTTGTAGGACAGTAGCTGTCCTCAACCCCATAAAGTGTTTAGTGTACTTTATCACTATAAATTGCATTGCAAGGTACAAAGTAAGCTGTACAATACAGTCCACTTAAATCTCAATGGAACAGACCAGTTAAAATTATAATTATTTCCTCCATCAAACTAAACCCGGTAGAGTACAAGGGAGACCATTAGATGAAACACTAGAAAAGAAATAAAGTTTGTGGGTACCAGACAGCAAATTATGACTATAATTTGACTAGCTATAGAAATAAAGCTGCTAGTACAAGGTATCACTGTCAAATGAAAAAGATCTTTTTCCTTATTTATGTGTTTGGATTTCCTTTTTCAAATATAACTATTTGCAAATACTAGTTTGAATGATCAATTCTGTTATTGCCTTTGAAATCATGGAATGACACTGACAGATACATGTGCAAAAGTCAACCATAAAGCCTGTAAAGAAGGTCTACGAGCAAGGAACATTACAATAATTATCAAATAGTGTTAAGTGTTGAGTGCCAAGTAAAATAATCTCATAGACAAAAGTAGTTTTTAATTTATTTTTGCATAGAGTAAACCATAGAAAATCTCTTAAAACAACAGGAAGGACCAAGCTTAAATCCACTAAAAAAAAAATCAGGGATATAACTGAAAATTAGCTCTGATAAACTGACATTAATTTGCTTTTTCTGTCTAATATCAATGTAGTTTTAATTGTGAATTATTGGTGAATTTCTCAAACAGAAAACCAGATTCCAGTTGTCCGTTATTGCTGGTTAGATGTACAACTAAGTACATCTCATCATCATGTCTTTACAGTCTCCCTTTAAATTCATGCTTTCCATCAAAGGTTTTCAGCCCTATTGGAAACATACACACGTTCTGAAAGGCATGCATTAAAAACAGTTTTAAAAATAAATACATAAAAGGCATGTACTGATCAGTAAAAATGCACACAGATTCCATAAGCAGCAGGTTTGCAGCATGTCCAGGAGCTGCTTTGCAAACTTCAGCTTTTCAAACCCTTGTAGAAAGATGTGGCACAGTACAGAGCAGATTCAGCTCTAAGGCCAAAGCCATGTTTGTTTCATAGACATAGAAAGTGTTTGAAACCTCAAACTTTTCTGTGTGTTTCTGTACCCCTGTAATTTAAAAAACAGCTTAAACCCCCTGTGCTGTTCATAGAAATGTGTGTATGTGCGTGTGTGCGTGCATCTGTGTACATTTGTATAAATCCTTTCCAGACCTATGCAGCTCGTGCCAGATTCTAGCACTAAGAAGTATTTCTGCTTGTTTTCCTGCGGCGTGGAAAGACTGGAAGCACCTGAATTTAAAAGGTGTAAGATGCTTAAAAGGAGATAGTAAAAATGTGGCATTAATGGAGCTGGGTGGAATGCAGCAAAACCTTTCCTGGTTTAAGAACTAGTTGCCAAACTGAGGTCATGGCATGTACTCCAGTCTCCTTCATAGCTGCAGTTCCTGATGGAAAGAATACTGGGATGAATAACTGAAACTATATTGCTCATAGCAAATTCTATTATGGAAATGTAAAACCGAGCAGTGCTTGGTTTTAAAATGTACTCACGGAATCTTAGGTATTAGTAATGGAAAAGACCTCTGTGTATTATCTGAAATACTTTCAAACCCTCCCAAAAATAACAAGGCAGAGATTTAGGAGGAAATGCATCAAAATATCTGTTTGAAGGATGGAGATCTGTTCATGTTAACATGCAACAAAACAAGACCTAAGGCTGCAAGTAGTGGGATTTTAACCAGTTCTATAAAGAATGAAGTGCATCCAGGATCCAAGGAAATAAAAGTGATTTAAACCCTCCCAAAATGGAATGAGGGTATCAGCTTTCCATCAAGCCCTGATAGAAAAACAAACAAGTTACTCCTTGAATTTCTCATCATTTTACCTCCCCAACTGCCAAATAAAAAGAGTAATAAACCAATAGTAAATAGGCACCACTTTAGACTGGAAAATAGTCTTTTCTATGCAGGAAGTTATAGAACAGATTTTGAAAGCACACAAGGGTACTGCTGCTTGTTGTCTTGTGCAAGCGGTTTCGGTACCCCCAGGCATCACCTGATATGACATAAATATTTCATGTCAGTGCCAATTCCCCTCTTGTATTTGGTTGTGGTGCCTGGCACCACATCCAAAAGTCGATTCTATCTGTGCTATTACTATATGTCTCTCACAGTGTTGGAAATGTCTATGAGCGCTGCAGGCCCAGAGATACAGAACAGGCCAAGGCTGTATGCATGGGGAGGTTTTAAGAGCTGAGGAGTTTCTGCAAAAGTCATCCTGGTGGAAGACTAACACTGCACACACCCCTCATGCAACCCTCTCTTTTTCAGGCACTTCTTTCCTGCGCCTCTGTGGTGTCCCTGCATACCTCCCAAAGGAACTTTTGCACTATCCATACATAAGGTTTCCATTCAATTGCAGTATCTAAGGGCTCCTGCTGGGGGTTCAGAAACACAATTGATAAAATTCCAGTCAAATAGAGGAATCTTACACTAACTAATGTTTCATTCTTATTTTATGACAAAACAAATTCTGAAGTGCTAAGTCTCTTTTTTGACCCTAGAACATTTCCCAAGGCCCTTGTGCCCTTCCCCGGACCCACACCCAGGTCGTTGCTCTCCTTGTCTCACCAGCCACCAGCTCTTCCATCCTCCTCCACCAGCATCACAACACAAATGGCCACTCAGCCACAAGATGGTGATGTCCAGGGAGAGCACCACTAGAAATGGAGATTAAAACATTGTATTTTGACACTGATGACCAAAATAGCCTTTGCAGAATACTACATAATACTGCCTCTAAAAACAGTGACAAGAGTGTAAAGCCGGATGTGCTGTTATCCTTGTGACAAACACTGTTTGAAGAAGAAAACTTGGGAGCACTGTTTCACGCTCATCCCCACATGTTGGGATTTGTGGCGAAGCATGTGCTTAGTAGTTAGTAGGTCACTAAGTAAATGGCACATGGAGAAGATGGGAAAGAGGAATTTCCTTTGAGGGAACTTTTGTTCTTAGGAGCTTGTGTTTGACATGTTAAATTACCAAAAACAAAAAAGCAAACTAATCCCGATTCTAAAAGAATGATGAAATGAGACATTTGATGCACGCATCAGCTCTCCATATTCAGTGGTTCAGGAACATACACCCCTTTCCTTCTGTAATAAGAGACAAGGGGGTGTTTTAACCTCCTGCTGCCTGGAGAGGGAACTTGCGATTAACCAGACCATACAGGGGTACAGCCTGATTTGTTGTCTGAGGAGATTTAAAGGACTTTGTGGTACCCGCATGCCTGAAGGGGACAAAAGTAAGATAGAGCCCTCTGAATGGTACCTGGAACAAGAAAAGAGAGAGTCTTTCTCCCTGGTAGAAGAAGACACTTGGAGAAGGCAGATGCCCAAACTCCTTCCCACAACTGGGATCAAAAGGGGTGAAGCTGCATCGCTTGGAGCAGACAGGGAGATATCCTCGCTGCTCCTGGGGCAGCACTGAAAGGAGGGTGCCTCTGCCAAGCCTTGGGAGTGACAGACACCGAAAGTACTGCTTCAACCTTGACATTTCGAGAATGTTTCTAGGAAAAGGAAGATAAAGCCTGTCCTAAGGAGTGCCTGTCTCCCAGGCTGAGCATCACAAGGCCACGAGAGAGCAGAGCTGGGACTAGAAACCCTTCGGCCTTCCCCATACGCCTTGCACAAAGGCGCTGCGTGTCCCGCCGCCTCCCGGAGCTGCTGCAGGCCCGCCCCGGTGCCTCCAGGGACAGAGCTGCCCGGGCCGGGGACAAAGGGGCCGGAGCGGGGCCGCTCCGAGCACCGGCTGCGCGGGGGGAGCCGGCCGCGAAGGGCTTTTCCCCTCAATTAAGCCAAGTGAATGGCGCTGAATAGCCGGTGCGAGTGCGCGGTAATTCCCTGAGCGCCACGATTAACCCGGGCAGCCCCAGCCGGGCCGGGGGAAAGAGCTGGCTGCGGGGCCGGGGCGGGCTCCTCCCGGGGGACCCCAGCTCCACGGCAGCCTCCCCGGGGAGGGAGGGAAGGAGGGAGCGGGGTTAGGGTCCCGTTCACCCCTCGCGGAGCTGGCACTGTCCCGGCCCTGACCCCAGCCCCCGGGGAGGGGCCGGATGCACCGCGCCGCGGAGCGGGCAGAGGAGAGAACTCTGATTTCTCGCAGGAAGCCACTGCAAACACCCCTTATTAAGCTGCAACTCCCGTTACTCGCTCTGTATCTGCAGTGGCAGGAAAGCTTATTCTAAGCTTTTAGTCCCAGGGGAAAGAAGGAGAGAACGAGAGATTCCCCCTCCCGGACTTTCCAGGCTTTTCCCAGTTTTTGTCAGGATAAAATCAGCCCCACACTCTCGCGAAAGCCCGTTTGAAGGCCAGCTCCAGAGAGCCCTGTGGGGCGAACCGAGCCAGCGGTCCCCAGGGAGGCAAACCCAGCCCGGAGCCGCGGCCACCCGTTCACCGGAACGCTCCGAGCCTTCCCTCTAGCAAAGGAAGGAAATCGTTGTTAGTGTCGTCCCTGTTTGCACAGATTATGGGTATTTTATCAGCCCTTCGTGCCCCAAATTTGTGTCACTTTGGAGGATATTTTAGTGTCTTCGTGTTAAAGACAGACTAGATACAAATGAATAAAAAGCAGCCACTGGGGGAGGTTCGGGGTCTAACCACAAAGGGAGTATTCACAATTCTTTACAGGTGCTTCTGTGTTCAGCAAGCTTTCAGCCATTGATTTACTGACCTAAAAAAAGAAAATACCCCATCAAACTCCATTCCAACAAGTGAAAGAAGAAATTATGATCACAGGAACACACACTAAAAAAAAAAAAAGAAGAAAGAAAGAAAAAGAAGTCTTTTTGAAGTTTCTGCATCCTTCTAAGCTATTTTCCACTTGTCAGGCTCTATCCACATCTAAAAGCCATCATCCCCGTGCAAACGGGGTCTCGTTTAAGTAGGAGGGGGGGTGGGAGGAAGAAAAAAGTGCGTCCCATCCGTGTTGCAGATGAATACTTGCTGCAGTTCACGAAATAATTCCAGTCTCTGCTCTGCCGAAGTTTACGGTCCCCTTTTTCCCATCATCTCTGGGTGTAGGTTTATTTACACACAAACTATTCTACAGGAACTAACCAGCAACAGATCCCCTCAGAGGACAATACTGGGCCTTTCTGAGAAAGAAATTACAAGTTTCATTAAAAAGAAAAAGAGAAACTGTCCCACTTGCAAACGGTTTCCCTCTAAATGGCACAAAATCGAAAGCTTTGCAAAAATTTATTAGTTTGTGAATTTCTACATCTACAAGCAACCCGGTCACATTTCCAAGATCAATGGCACTTCTTATCTTTCAAAACAGTCGATTATTGGTTTAGTAAATAGTTAAGTAGATAAATAGTTTAAGCTCAGAAGCCAAAGGTTCCTCAAGGAAGGTCTCGAAAACTCCAGCTCTAAACACAAATTAAAAGACCAAAAATCGGAGGGCAAATATTTTGGAAACGAATTTGAAAGGACGAGGTTAAAAGCCGTTTGTGTGGGACCCAGGGAACGGGAAAGGCTTTCCCGGGTTCTGCTCCCAGCCAGGATAGAGCCGGGATTCGATTTACAGGTCCTTTGAATCTGAACATCTGCCTTGCACAGGGAGACAGTGGAAGGACAATTAAAATCTAATCCCTCCGAAAAGGAGACGCTTTTAGACGGGCAAGATGCGTATTTTATGTGTGTTTTAAAATTCAACTGTTACTTGCGAGAACACCACGTACACCTTTCATCAACCTTCACCACTGGGACCACTACTGATTTTTGCACCACTTCCAAATTACTCAGCAATTAGCTAAACCAATAGTAGCTGGCAGTTTTGTTCTCGAGGTGCGTTTCCCTGTTCGAGCTGCGCCCTTTCTCCCTGCCATTTTCAGTGCAAACCGCTCGATTTCGGCGCAATCGTTTCCGGTCCTCGAGCTCCGAACCCCGCATCCCACCCCACCCCGGCTCTGGAGCCCCGGGCGATCACCAGTACAACCCTCCTGGGGTCCCCCCCGTGCTCCTCCGGACAAGTGCGGCCGGAGAAGCAGCCATCGGGGCAGCTCAAAACCCGCAGCAAACTTGGCCTTCCCCTAACGCCTTCTCCGAGGGAATTAAAATAAATGTTAAAGACAAATCCGCGCCCTACGGGACACGTCTGAACTTCAGAGATTTAAAACAAAAAACACTCTGGGGACGGCGGAGAAGCGCAGCCGGTACCGGAGCAACACAGTTCTGCCGGGCGGGCGGGAGAGCCCGGGCACCGGGGAGTCGGGGTCCGACGTGACACACACAACTCACACCTCCCCCCTTCCTCCCCTCGCCGCCTGGACATCCTGTCGCAAAATCAAGATTTAAGAAGGTTTTTTTGTCCAAACCCGTCTCCGGGCTGCACACGGGGAGCGGCGCTGGCAGAGCAGGCGGCCACAACCGTTCTGGTGGGCAGCTACCGGATCAAAAGCAGTGAAAGGATGGGGGGAGTGGGGACGGGGGGTTGGAAGGGAGACTGGTCGGGTTCCTTTGCCTGCAAAATTACAGTGCTGCGGGGGGCGGAGGGGCGAAGGTTAAACGAGGAAACACAGTGGAAAGTTTGCAGCTCGAAGCACAGAGCCCGAGAGACAGGGCTGCGGCCCTGTTTGCTCCCGTTCTTCTGGCTGCTTGTCCCGGTGGCAGGGTTGTGGGGCTGGGGAGGGGGTGCTGCGGGTGTCCCCACTCTGCCTCGAGTCACATCTGAAGAGCAAAACTCCGGACGAACTTGTCATCGTGTGAGCAGCCCCAGGCTGCTGCAGACACCTGCTGCCGGCCCCCCCATCCGCCCCCCCACCCCCCCCCCCCCGGCACAGGGAAACAGCCACTTTCTTTCTCCCCCCTCCTTTTTCCTCCAAAACTCTGAGGTACAGGAGCTCAGGACAAGGGCAGAGTAATTCACCCATCAGCAGCCTTTGAGTGTAGCCACTAAAGAAAATTCACAGCTCTCTGAAGTGCTAACTTACAATCTCTGGTTTCCAGATTTTATTTCAGGCTACACTCCCCCTTCTCCCCCTCCTTAACCAGATGACCTTGCTTCAAAACATTTTATTTCCAGCTGAAGTGAAAAATGCTAACATATTAGCTTCTGTAATTGCAGTTTGACAGCACTTGATCTCAATAATTATGCTGCAGCTAAACTATTATTAACGGTTTAAGCTAAAATAAACGGAAATCCCCCTTTGGAAGTGAACAGAAACAAACCACTGGAATCGTTCAGGAGGAAGACTGGGGTCTCGTACCTGCGTTGTAGGCTGCCAGGTCCGCTCCAGGCCCTGGGCTCTTCCTTTTCCTGGGTCTCCCCTTCTGGACAGTCCCCACACCGTTGTAGTAAGGCAGTCCCAAAGTGTTGGCAGAGCCCGCTCCCAGTGCCGGGCCCTTCCCAGCGGCTACATCCGAGTGGTTGAAGTGCACCTGGTACTCCCCCTGGATGAGAGTCTCGAAATGGAGGCGGCAGTACACCAGATTGTCCTTCATCCCAAAGTGGTCGCCGGTGGTCAGCATCTTGTTGCAAGTGGTGCAAGTGAAGCAATTTAAGTGATATACCAAATCCCTGGCCCTCATGACCATCTCGGAGGCAGAAATCCCCAGGTGACACCTCGCACATCTCTGCACCGAAAACCTCCTGCAAAACAGAACAGCCAGAGGAGACGGTGAGAGGCGCACCCCTCCCTCCCCCCCTTGTCAGGTCCGCCCGGAGGGCGGCAGAGGGAGAGGGGCTGTGGGGCCCGGGGCAGTGGCACAAAGCCGGGCCGTTTGTGGAGCGGCTTTCCTCCCCGGGCACTGCTCGGCAGCCGGGCGGGCACCACGGCCAGGACCCCCGGGGGACTCCGTCCCATTTCCTGCCTCGCGCCGCAGCTCCTGCCCCTCCCGCTCCCAGCGGAAAAAAGCCCTGACCGCCGCCCGCAAATTCCCCCGGGGCCAGGAGCGGCTCCGCGCACTGCCGGGCCCCGGCGGGCGCCACCGCCACCCGGAGAGAAACCGGCTCCGCGGCCGTGCCCGGGCCCACAGGGGGACGCCGGCGGGGAAACCGATCCCTTCCAGGGTGAAGGGCTGCCCTCGGCCTCAGCCGTCCCGTTCTCTCCGCGGTCCGGGAAGGCTGGGCCGTGGAATCCGGCTCGGAGCCCCCAGTGCCCGCCTGCAGGCGTGGGGAGCTGAGACCGGGCCTTGCCCCCTCCCGAACACGAGGCCCATCCCCACGGTGAGTTTCCCTCTCCAGTGGGAGGTTTTAGGAGCTCACAGCCCGCCCCGTAGGGATGGGGTCTGCTCAGTGTGGGGTGCCCTGAGCAGTTCCCTGTCATCTGTCATCCCCCTCTCCCCGTGGCAGCTGAGGGCAGGCTGTACCTGTAGTAATCCTCCTTGCAGTAAATGCTGCCGTCCTTGCTGAAGCAGGTGAGCTCGGACTCCAGGTTGAGTTTGCATTCACAGCACTTCAGGCAGCGCATGTGCCACTGTTTATCCACAGCCAGGAGGTAATAACGGTCGGAGATTTTCCCCCCGCAGCCGGCGCACAGGGCAGCCCTGTCACTGCTGATGGAAGGCATGGTCTGTTGGGGGAAAACAATTACAGACCGTTAGCAAGAGGGACAAACTCCGGTGTGCTGTTGGGCACCCCCCCCCCCCTCCCGTTCCCGGCAGGGGCCGGGCTTCATTCCCCGCAGAAGCTGGCAGGGGAGAGGGGCTCCGCGTCCGGAGCTCGGCCCGGGACTCCCACCTTCCCGGGGGCGGGACAAGGGGACCCCCGGGGGGCTAGAGAGGGCGTCCGAATCCGGCCACGCACCTCTTCCCTTTATTTTTTCTTGGTGGATTTTCCAGCCCCAGAACAAGGAAAGATGCTGCTCAACAACAGGCACAATAATCACCGAACAGGGCAAATCACGGATAGTTAGTTTTCAAATTTATTGTTACAGCTCTGTTGAGAGTGTCTGCGCGGTTACTGCTCTGTGCGTGCGTGTCTGCGGAGCGTGCCCATGTGTGGTGTAAACTTCGAGTGAATGGCGACCAGGGCACGGGGCCGGCTCCAAACGACCGGTGCCCGGTCTGCACCACGGGGATCGGTGAGCACAGCAGCGGAGGAGGCGAGCGGCACTGACCCGGGTGCAGAACGGTGGAGCGGGAAAACGAAATAGCGGGAAAGGTGTAGGAAAGAAAGCAAGGGGGCGGGGGGGGGAGGGGGGGGAGAATAAAAATCAACAGAGCACTTTAGATTATGTCGGGATAAACTTGGAAGCAATAAAACTAAATGTAACCCCTATATAATTTAATAGTTTAGTGTCAAATCGCAATCCAACCGAAACCTTGCAAAAAACCCCAAATACATACATATTCTCCCTCGACTTCTACCAAAAAAAAAAGAGGAAGTATCAGCCGGTTAAGGACGCTGACTTTTTTTAGCGGGCACCTCAGGGCAGAGCTGGGGCTCAGAGCAGAGCTCGTTGCTGCCCACCGCGTCCCAAATGCCCCTTCCCGCCCCGCACCATCCGGGCTTGGCCTCGTGCAAGGGGACCCGAGCCATTCCTGCACAGCTGCGACAAACGCGTTTGTATTGATGCAGGCCAGGGGCAGAAGTTGCTTGTTTACTTCTACCTCCTCCCGAGCCCGAACGGGCAGAGCTAACGGGGCAGAGCCGAAGGGGCCCGACGGTGCTTTGCCAGCCGACGCTGGAGCGGTATCAGCCTCCGGCCCCGCGGGAACCCCGCGTCCCACCGCTGCCAGGGCTGCGGGGTATAGAGAACCGCGGCTCTCCCCACCACGGCTTCTCTCCCGAAGGCACCGACCAAGGTCTGCTTGGGGATCCGTTTAGAACCAAAGCAGTTTCCACTTTAAACAAAATACAGTTTTTCTGCTTTGCTTTTCCGGTAACAAAAAAATATTCTGAGATGCAGAAATGGTATTTAAGGAACCAGTATTCCATCCCTCTATTTGTTCCACACACGTGTACACATACACGTTATATATAGATATATAAAGGTATATATTCCAGGAAAAATAATTTGTTATTGCTTAATTGTACGGAGAAATATTAACTTTCCCACAGAAAACCAAACCCGTTTAGATTAGAAATCATGTTCCACCCCTAAAGCACAAAGGCTAATTTCCAGCCACTATTTCGGGTTTAAATATTCTCACTGTCACCATTAAGTAAATTTCTACATAGCATTAAGAGAAATAACACATACTGATGAAGTTCTAAAACCCGAGGACACACAATCTTGCGTGTGCCCGTATCAGCTCAGAGGACACCATTTAACCAAAGTAAGGGATTATTTCACTCCAGAATTATCATTTTTGATTACAAATAAAGTAGCTTATATAAAATGTTGTCTCAATTAACAAACTCCAGAAATCTCTTCCACTTTGCCAGCTTAACGCCGGTTAGAAGAATGCATCTTTTGCTTATCTAAATCTATTAATACACAAGCACTACGCATCAGCAGGCACAACATAAAAAGTGGTAAAGTTATAACGATTTGCATACATCCGCCTCCCTGAACCATATCTTCCAGTTCTGCTCGCCAGGGCTGCAAACCCACCGTGCATATATATTAAAATTATTTTTTTAAACTCGTAATTTAAAGGCACTCCAGTTTATTTTATATAGATATAAATGCTATAAAGACTCCCTCAGCGTAGACATCCTACCTGAAAAAATAACACGGAATTGGATTATTTGGTGTTTGTGTTTCCATTCTGCAGGCAAAAAATTCACTGTGCCAAAGCGTTATCTGTATAAAAGCACACTTTGCCTCTTCCCCAAAACTTTGGAAGGCCGGACAGGCTGGGGGAAGGGAAGGAGTTCTTGGACGCTACCAAAAGGCTGGTCCCACTTTCTGTTTTCTCACAAGAGCAATACCGTTCCTTTCACCCGAGCGTTACTATTACTATGCATATTATTAATAATTAACAGTTTCATGCCTTTCCCCACGGTTTTATTTAATCTTTTGGGGTACCTTTTTGCTTAATTTTCTTCTGTTTTAGCATTTCGCGTAGGTTTCCCCCCGATCTGTTATTTCGACACAGAAGCTGTATCTCTGAGGGGTTATTATGTTTAGGGGTGGAAGGGATCCCCTTCCCTCGCTTCCTACCGTTTCGGTCTCTCCCCTGTCTATAGCCGAGCTGATGGCCGGTGCTTCGCTCTTGGTTCTCCGATCCATCTCGTCGATGACCCCGTGCATCTCCGAGCCGGACAGACTGTGGAAAAGCATCGCTGAGGAAGCAGAGGAGGAGGCCCCGAGTTGCTGCTGCTGCTGACAGTTGTCGGGGTCCCTGCAGGAGCCCAGAACTTGCATTAACCGGAGCCCTCCCCCATGCATCTAGCACGGTCGCCCCGTCTCTCCTCAGACACTGGGCTTTTCACTCCGGTGCAAGTCTCCGGAGCGCAGGGCAGGCAGGAATCCGAGGTTTCAAGGGGATGGGGCGCAGAAAAGGCGGGCGGAGGGGATGAGGGAGAGGGGATATCTGGTGGTGTAAGCTTCGGGGCTCGGGTCTTAGTCTGTTGCGCGGCCCCGGTACATCCCTCTAGGAGGCTTCTTCAGTGCAGGGCTCATGGCCCCAGGTGCAGTCCCAGGCTTTATGCTGTGGCCCAGCTGGCAGCAAGCTGGGAAGGTTTACGGTTGGGAGGGATTAATAAATAATAGAAATATAAAAAATTAAACCATCTTCGGTGAGAAATAAATAATAATAATAATAATAATTGAAAAAAATAAAAAGAACAACGACAAGCCCCCTACATCGTACTGTGCGAAATTTCGGGGTGGAAAGCGAGGGAGCGGGAGGCTGCAGCAGGCGGAGAGCGGGCTGGTGCTGCAGGGAGGATGGGGCGGATGCCCACCGTACGCACTCACAGTCCAGAGGGCTGGCAGCGGCGGCAGCTCGGGGGCAAAGTTTGCTCCTTCCCCCGCTCCTCCCCCAGCCCGCGGGAGCTCATTGGGAAAAGAAAGAGCCAAGGGGGAAGGAGGAAGAGTTGGACGGGCACCAGGTGGGACGGGCGCTCGGCGGCCCCTCTCCCCGTGACGCGACGCGGCCCGGCCCGCGGGGCCCGGGGCGGCTGCCGGCGGGGCGGGGCGGGGCGGGAGCGCAGCGGCGGAGCCGGAGCCACCGCCCGCCGCGGTGCCTGCGAGCGGCGCGTCTGCAGCCCGGGCGCCGCGCGAGGCTCCGCGCCTTTTCTACAGCCCCTCTGACATCATGTCCTGCCCCGCCGCCATTGGCTGCCACCGCGCCCGGGCTCGCCGGCATGTGCTCGCAGCCGGGAGGCGCGGGGCCCGCTCAGCCCCTGCCTCCCGACCCCGGGCGTGCGGCGTCCAGCAGCGCTGCCGCATCCTGCGCCCCGCCGTGCCCCGGGCTGAAGGCTGGAGCGGAGCCCACAGCCGCTCCGCGGAGTGGTTTGCGTTTGCCGCTGGTGACAGCCTGCGACGAGTCTCGCCGTGGAGCAGCAAAGAGGCTACCGGGGGGACGCCGCCAGCGCGGGAGAAGTAACGGGTCAAAAGTGCGTTTACGCTCCGAGATCCCGATATCCCCGATAGGCGTTACTAGTTGAACGCACACAACGACGCCCGTTATGAAAAACATTCACCGTTACAGCATAAGAGTTTATGTCATTCAAGTTCGTGGAGCCTTCCCCGACTGAGGCTGCCCGCTGCCTGTGCTTCCACGCAGGCTGTTAGGAAAGCCAGGCCAGGAAGGTCTCTGAACTTGAGGAGAAGCTTCAGGAACTCTCCAGAGAAGACAAAGAGTACACAGGGAAACGGTTTGTGGTGTCTAAATATTTACCCAGAAGGCGGGTAGTAAGGAAGGGCTAATTAATATTAAAGATGTCAAATATCACACTTCTAATGATGTTAGCAAAGGTAGCACAACGGAAGGTAAATGTGAATGCACATCTGAGACCATGAGATTCGCTACTTAATCCATGACTGCAGATCATTGCATCACAAACCGCAAGGTTTATTTCTAACAGAGATTTGCCTCTTACAGATGCTGTGCAGTTAAGACAGTATTTGCTACAATTGGAATTACTCTGTTCATATTTGAACTTGGTTGGTTTTACATATTCCGTTTTTGCAATAAACTGGGCTTTTTGTCATTGTTCTGTTCTGTCAGGATGGCTGTGGGTAGCTGAATGTATTTGCATGTCACAAAGGAGAACAAGGTGTCTCCTGCAAAAATGCCCATGAAATAGCCACGAGAGCCCTCAGGACCAGTACAGGATGCAAATTGGTTTGGCATCTGTTGGTGCTACCCAAAAACTGGCTTAAAATTAGACCTTGGAAACAATGGAAGTTCACGTTTCATCCAGACTAGAACTCTGCAACAGAGTTAGTAGAGCTGCAGAGGATTTATCTTGATAAAATGATCTTTCCCTTCCTCCATTAATTTACAAGACATTTCACATACTGCCTGTGATGGGAGATTTGTTCCAGCAAGAGCTGTGGGGTGTTACTGGGCACCGTGCACACCACTGTGGAACACTCTGGTGTTCTCCTGACTCACACTGTTTGCTGTAGATACCCTCACCTCCATGTGTGCAGTACTGTCCATAGATGTCTTAGTGCTGGTTTAATTCCCTATCCCATACCTGGTTACACACATTTTTTGTTAGGAAAGGTCATGGACTCATGCACTCCGCGTAACATTGTTAATTATCAAAAAGCTTGTATCTATTTAACAGAATTAAAATACAATATTCTATGTAACAGCCTTGCATAAGTGGCTGGAACCAGTAATACCAATAGCCTGTTAAGAAGGGGTGGTGTGGCCCCTGGTTCACAGGCTATCTCAGATTATCTTCCTAATGGATATACAAACACACGAAGACACCCAACCCTTGCTACCAAAACACAGGGAGAGTAACAGAATGTAAACATAAAGCTGCTAACGTACACACTGACACGTGAATGACATTTACATTGTTCAGAATAAAATCCAGGATATTCTTGAATAATGAGCCACAGAAAAATTGCTAGAGCAAAATAATATTTAGAATCGAGTGAGGATTCATTTGGAATGAGAGGGGTTTTTTCATTGAAAAAATGGTGCAGCTAATAATAAAGTCTTTTAACCTGTATTTTGTTATAGGTGACAGGTGAACAAATCACAGGTCTTGAGTTTCTCTACCCTGCCTCTCTTGGTAACGTCATCTCCAGTACCATCTGCTACCTACCAGCCAAACAGACCAACCACATAATGAGGTACCAGCTTCCACCCAGCTACCGTGACTAAATCAGAACAAAAGATTCAACGCCTCCTTCAACAAAGGAACACAAGTCTAAGCTGTCTTTGCTAATTGCTGGGTTTCAGGTTGTCTGTTACAGATTCTAAGTGAGCTACAAACTTCCATCAAATACTTATAGCTGTTGGATAAAGGTACTAAGAATAAAAGATAAATGGAAGCAAAAGGTAAGAGAGAAGAAAGCTTAGAAAATAAGTAACTACTTATGATAATTTAAAGGCTGTGGAATAATATAAACATGAAAGACCAAGGGGCAGAGTGATTGATATCTCATATGTTTTTGATGCCCCTACGGTTATTAGACTGCAATATATGGAAACATACAATAAACTATGAATTAAAATGTAATTGTAGCTTCAGGCGTCTTCTTCATTGTCTGCTGTGGTGTTATGTCTTCATGCACCGTGATTGACAAGGTGTAATTAATCATCTTACTCAGTTGTAAATATGGGCACCCTTCACAGTAGGCATCAGGAAGTGTGTACCAGCAAAGGAAGCAATAGTTGACGCTGATATACCATTAAATCAAAATCAGAACACTTCTATGTTCAGAAATGTGTGTTTGGTGTGATGCTGTTATCATTTATTTCTAAAATACTGTACCAACAGATTTACTTGATTTGCAAGTTAACTACAACATTAACTGGTTTTATTTATTTTGTCTCTTCTTCATTTTTATAGGCAATGATGTTGTTCTCCTAAAATGTGAGACAGTTTGCTCCTTGTCAGCAAGTGGAGCTCAGCTCAGCTCTTCATCTCCCCGAGCTGCTGCAGACAGCCTCGCACGCCTCGGGTTTGGGTGCTCTGTGGACTGACTTGCAATGATTCAGGAGAATTAGTACTCCATTCATATATCACTTTTTGCACTTATTATATGCTGACTTAGACACTGTGGGTCATTTTAAAGTGAAAGAGAATAATGAAAGAATGCATTAAGAAACACGTTCAGTTTAAAAATAGGACATTTCTTGTCACAAATGCCGTCCCCTAACTGTAAATGAACATAGTTTGAAGATTTTTTTTTCAGTACGCCAGGGCAAGAAATATTTGATATCTGTTTCTTTTTCTAAATGATTCCTATCCTTATCCAGTTAGTGAAAAAATGGTGTCTGAGTCACAGGAAATTTAAGTGGTTTGTCTCAGGGAAATTTGGTGGTATGCATTTTTTTGACGCACATAGAAGCTGCTGAATGAATAATTGGCAACCTATTTAATGTCCTTTGCTTTAAGCTGTCTGGTACATTTGCTGTTTAAAAAAATGTCTTTCAAAGCTGTTAAATATGTAACAAAAAGAGGTTGCTATCACCATTCTGACATGAACAAAGCCATACAGTGAGCAGCCTGGGGTACCTTCAGCATGCTATTAATTACAGACACAATAATAAATGAAAATTCGCAAAGTTCTCAAATTCCAGTTCTTTGCAATAGCAGCTGATGAATGTTCTATAAAAGTATGCAGCAAAAATGTCTGTCCAGGAATTAGCTATTAAATATTACCTACACCAAGCATTTTAGGGAGAGTCTGGAATCTATGGGATCTATAATTTCACTGTTTACCCCTCATTGAGTAAGATCTCTCACTGTCTTGGGAGCAAACGGAGCTTAAACCAGCGCACTTCCAAGAAGATGATCGACTAAGAATGTGTTTTATTTTGATTTGAAAAACTGTCAATCATAGATAAAAAAAGACCAAATAATATTATTCTATAATATTAGCTAATTATATTTGTCTGGTAAACCAGGAATATGCAGGGAAGATGAATAATACAGTTTAAAAGGAAAGTATTCCCAATATTTTGCCCAGATGTTGTGCTGAAATTGTTGTCACTGTTACAAGCAATAGATTTCAGTTAAAAATACAAGTATCTATCTATAGATGTGAGTGAGGAATGAGATGTCCGATGTTGTACATATTTCAGTTTATACAGCCACAGCTATTTAAACAATTCCAAAACTGCCTCTACGGGTGTCAAAGAGGGAGGGAAATCTTCAACCACATGATCTTCTCTCCAGAGTCCTGTTAAATCCACTGAACTTAAAACAGAACAAGAAGTGTGAAATATGGGTTTGAACATGTTATGTCAGAAATGTAAAGGTTGGGAGCCTTTTTAGTAAGTGATATTAATATTGTATTAAATGTTATGAAAAGGTAAGTGTTGGAGAGGAGGGCTGGGCTCATGTGCAATTTTGTCAAGGTTTTTATCTGTGATTATGATTCCAGATGTATCTATTCCCCAAGGAGAAAAATGAAGTAAAGTTGGCATGTGACATGTGTTTTAAGGTGTTTGGCACAGTTTCCCAAAGTGATGACAAAATGTTCATTTTTATTACAGTGAATTGGTAAAGAAAATACGGTTCTGAAGGTCAGTAGCTGTATATTTAACGTAGCTTCGGAGTTTTATTTTAGGGAATATAGGTTTTTGGCGGGATGTTTGGATCTCATTGCCTCACTTGAGCATCTACCATAGTAAATAATTTAAATAGAATAATTTTTACAAAGTAGGAAGTTGTAATTACTAGACATTCAGTAAATTCTATGCACAGAATATGACAGTGTGCAAAAAAGTCTCTTTTTGCATCTAGTAGTGTATTTGCTTTTTAATATTCTTTTTTAATCTATTTACTACAGACTAATCTTTTTGCTTCACACTAGGAGCTCCAATAAGTGTATGAACTCTTTTTTGGGGTAAATAGATATTTATTTATTTTTTAACAAAGTGAGGAAGGGGTTTTCTTTGGTGAAAGCTATTTTGCCTAAATTCACATTAAGAGTTTAGATAAGAAAGT